TCCTGATTTACAGCGTCCGCAGTTCTTTCGGTTTTTATTAAGATTGTCTGGGTTTCTTGACAGGGTGCTGGAGGTGGAAAGGAAGAGTGGTGCAGTGTTCCAAAAGGAAGCCAGGAGGCTTTCGGGGAAAGTTCAGAAGGCAATGGGAGCAGGTGACCATGAAGTTCAATTCTTGAAGTCTAGCCGTGAGGAATTAGCTGCAGTGCCAGGAACATTTCAACAGCCTCACAGGGTAGTAACAACCAGTGAACGCATCTTGATATGACATCTGCTCCCTATGTCTCCACCAACATCTCATGCTGCTCAACGTAGCACACCAACATCACTCATCCATCAGCAAGCAGGACTCATGCCAAGTTCATGGACATATTCTGTTGCAGAGGAGTTTGGAGTGACAGTGTTACGCTGCTGGGAATCTAAGCTGAGATGCTTATTGCACAGTCAAGGAGTGTTTGACTTCAACTTGACATAGGGCTTTGCACTGAGATGAAGTCTGTGCTATCTACTGTGGAAAATACCTGATGACACAAAATCCAGGAGAATGGAAAATTGTGACAAAGCTATGAGCAACTGCAATAGAAAACAGATAAGCTGGTAGCTTGGACCAATAGGCAGCAGATAGAGAATCAACATAAAGGAACATGTGCCAAAACATTTTGGAATAATAAAAAAGAAGTGTGTCTGAAAATACAAGGACCAGGAATTTACATCCATTATGACACTTCTGAGCATGCAATAAGTTAGACTGAAATGGTCCTCAGTTCACCAGTGGCAAAATTTACACCATAATTTGTTGGAGAACCAAATAGAATATCCTACTGCCATACACATACAGATCCATGTACACATCAAATCTAAACAGAAACAGCAGTTTCTACGCAGGAATTGTTGTCATTCACAGCTGGTAAATGTTTTACATGGCACTGGGAAGACTTTCAAATTATAAACTATTTTAATTGTTGGGTCTATTCTGTAGGCACCTTTTGCTGCTGCAGCATCACATTCTAATGCCATAAAATCCATTTGCTTCATGAGGCTTAAACTTTAAGCAGAAACTTCTTGAGTGATCAATACAGGGAGCAGTGGCAATGAAACATGGCCAATTGCTCGTAGCTGTTGACATTCCCACTTGTGAGATCAATGCTCACTCATCTTCAATTCCCCATATACTTAATCAAAGTTGAGGAAGACACAAGCTTTCACAGCAAGTTATGGTGAGACATACATAATGCTGTAAGTCAATACGTAATAATTTCCTGAGGTGCACTTACTTAGCAAATACATTTTCATTTACTCTGCCTCCAGAAGAATAAATTATACAACACTATCCAGTCATATGATCAACATCATCAGGTCCAATTTTACCATATTGTCTTTCACATCGGTGTAGAGACTCAGCACTGACACATAACACAGAATCAAAACCATCAATAAGAAGCTCTCAGTAGCTATTTGATATAAATAAATGCTAACAAGTACAAGTTGCAACTGAAGCTTGGATGCCAGCTCATAAAAACTTTCAGATGAGTTGCTGCCTTCTTCCCCTCTGCTAGGTATTTACAACTCAAATGCTTTTGTGACATGGAATAGTGTAACAAGCCTTAAAACTCACAGTATAAACTGATACAATTTGGAGTGACATTCAGATTCTAAATACCCACAATGTGTTGCGTTCTCGAACAGATGCCAGGGGTTTCATAACAGGGTGGGAAAGAGGGTCAGAGAGATAGACAACTGTATCTATGCCAGTTAGGAAAGGTTTGGGCTGAAGTTTGGAAATGGCTCACGGACTCTCTTGGTCACTGTGACACAAAGCTCAAATTCTATACAGATACTTCAATGAATCCATTTTGACAGGAAGACTTACCCATTTTCAGCTGCACTGACAACACATGGTTGCTTTTCACTTGCTTTGCCAAGGCAAGTAATGGGAGAAGTGTGACCAAACAGGAAGATTCTTGGTAGCGTCTAGGAAAATACAAAATGGCATTTATACATGGGAATATTGCAAACCTTAAACACATCAGGTGCTTTTTGATAAAGGCAATTGTTACTTTTGTTCACTCATGGCAACAGGCAAGGGCTCCAGACCAGCTTCTTTTAGGACGACTTGCAGAACAACGTAACAATGATAGGCCTTACACAGGACCAAGGACCCCAGGAGTAGAACCCCACCCCCCTCCTCCCCCTGAGAACTGGGACAAAACAGAGGCCAGAAGCTGTGCTCTGCTCAGCAGTGCCACTGGAGGTGCAGTGGCTGTTCCCCGCATTGCACCTATCCAAGGCCCAGCATGACCTCGGGACACAGGCCATAGATGGGATGGGGGTGGGGGTTGCAGGTTGGTGGAGGGAGGATAGAGGGGGTGCAAGGGATGGCTTTCAGCAAATGCTCCCCATTACAGATGTCGAGTCCTTTTTTGGGCTTTGATTGCTTTGGACCCTCCCCAGAAAGCAGCAAGCGTCCCAACAGGGTCTCCTTTATGGCTTTCCTCATGGTGAGTCCCCTGTCCATCAATGGGCGAATGCTGCCAGATATGCAATGAGGCACATAAGTGGCCCACAGTTCCCTGATTAAACACTCCACCTGCCCCCTCCAGATATGCCCCGTGGGGAGGGCATTAAATTTCACCCAATATTTCTACAGTTCCAAGACCAAACTGGAATTGCTGGAAAAGTTCAACAAGGCTGGCAGCATCTGTGGACAGAAACCAAGTTAACGTTTCTATAGTTCACCTGTTAATTTCTCAAATATGGAAAAAAGGATTTCTATTTCAAAGCAAACAATTGCATGGATTGGAGTGAGGGGTTGTAGTCACCAACCAAGGCTAGGCAGCATTTGCAATGTAGTGAACATGATGCTTTCAATTGCACCAACAGTAGAGGTAGAGAAAGATCTCTATGAGAAGCCAATAGGTGTTAGCTGGAGGATGAACAGGGTCACTCTTGCGCTGTCTTTCACAAACACAAATATTTGCTGAGTCTCTCACCCAGCACTAGATGATTGCATTGAAGTAAGGACATGATTTTAAGGTAATTTCAGTGAACAGTCCTGTAGAGCAGTAGGATTGCAATATCAAAACCAATGCTGTAGGCACATTGTTGCCATCCATTGTGCCAGGCTGTTATCATTGTGGTGAAATTGCTGCCACGCACCATTTTTAACTAACCAGAAAAGATGCGTCAAATTGCTTTAAGCAACATTAAAAACATAAATATCTAATGACTGCAGGAGATTCCAAAGCAAACACTTGAACAGAACATCTTCCATTTGAAGTAATCATTCGTAAGACAATATCATTTTGAATGATTTTTGGACCAAAGTTTACATGGATTCCATTATAATGAGCTTTTGATATTTAATATTCATTGTGAATATCACAGAACAGTTTCACCCTCTCTATAGTCAAGCCTGATGAAAAGTACAGTGACCTCAAAATAAAGCAAAACGGAGCATGTTACCACATTGCACAAATCAATTTCCCATATTGATTCCTGGCCAGCCACAATATTTAAATGACAGTTCAGTCAAGCCCAAGATAGCGCTCCTCTTCAGGTCATTAGTGTGCTGCGTACGTACAGCACAAGATATATCACCTAATAAACCATTCATTATAAGAATAGACTTCTGTTGCCACAAACACAAAATTATAAGGTTGAACAAAAATCACTTAATGCTTAACAGAAGCAATTTTTCTAAAACTGAAAGTATAAATGCAAAGCGACACTTTTCTCTCCTCATATATTACTTGTACCCGACTGCACAAATTCAAGATTTTTTTTTCAGGATGCTTGTATTTCAACAAAAGGAACAAACACAGATACTTTTGTTGTAATTTATTATGCAAAATACTAACCTTGAAATCAGGAGACAGATTCCAGAGGCAAATCTGCCCTTCCTGACTCCCTGTCACAATAGTTCGCTGATCGTCAGTTAACATTAGAGCACAGATTGAGTGAGATGGTGCTTTCCTCTCCCACACTGCTATTGGCTGGACAATACTCTTCATCATGACCAAAGTACCTGTAAATGATATTGATGGGTGAATATGCACTGATTCAAAACCTGCTGAACCAATTAATTATTCCAAGTATAGAAATTTCTTGTTCAAATTTGTACACTGTGCCTGTATTGTATATTTATTCCTACATTTTATGTTGCAAGTTGTTTCAACTGGAATTTACAGTGCTGTAAATATCAAACCACTTGAACTTACATGTTTCTCAGCAAGCAATGTCCCAAGGAACCTAACTCTGGCACTAACATGAATTCCTTTAGAAACCATTCATTCACTTAAAGTTGTGAATTTCAGGAATGCAACCATAACGTTAAGTGAGGACTTAGCATACCTTATGTGAAAAACTTCTAGGATAAAAGAAAACAATATATTATCATTTGGGATTTGAATTTTAAAATGGAGACAAATGGACTACGGCCAGTTCTGTGAAGATATTTTATTTTTAAAAGTTAGAAAGTAATTTGCAATAAGTAATCTAAACACATGATTTCCAAAATGGGATGTTAGTTTAGTCAACAGCCTAGCAATATCCCTAGGGTGTTAAATAGTAAAGAAAACATTGTGTCCCTTTACATATGTATGTAAAGACATACAATATTTTCTTTACAACAGGATATTTACATTATAAACCCGTGAGATTAGGTGGATATATTCTCTTACATTCCAAATGCTCAGAATAATGCATCATCAAATCTTAAAAAGGTCACACTGTCTGGCTATTCTTGTAAAGATAAAATTACTTCCAACAGACAAACCCTAACTATAGCAGGTTGCCATTTTATTTGAAATATTGGTGCATTTTACTGTAGGATAAACTTACATTCACAGCATTAGGAACATACCTGTAGCAAACACATTAGGTAGCGTACACACTGTAAATCATCCTCACTGTTATGTAAATAAAGCTTGCCTTCCACAATACATTGTAAAAAGATAACTTTCACAGTCATACACCATGGAAAGTAATTTCATGCAACTTAAATGGTCCATAATAATATGCTTACATACTTGCTTTGAAAATTAATTTGGTTGTAAACAGACTTGCATTATCTGAGAACTATAACTGTGTGGATCAATTGAATATAGGAGCATCTAAACTAAGAGGTGACAAATTGGTGAATCAGGAAACCACTCACTCAAATTTGAAATCCAAAAAACATAAAACAATCACACTAACACTTTGTACAGTACTGTGGGAGTGCTGCACTGTCAGAGGTTCTGTCTTTCAGATGCTATATTAAACTAAGGCCCTATTTGTTTTTTTGGGTAGATACAAAATATCCCAAGACGCTATTGTAAAGGACATCAGGAGTGACCTGGTCAACATTAAGCCCTAAGCAACATCAGACTAACAGATTATCTGGTCATTATCATATTGTTGTTGGTGGGAACTTGCTGCTTGCCAATTGGTTGCTATCTTTCCTACATTACAACATTTAGCTGTGAAACTTTCTTGGATATCCTAAGGTCATGAAAAGCTATGTATAAATCAATGCTAGTCTTTGTTTCAAATGAATATAGTTTCAAAGGGTGACGATCAGGATCTACAGGATCTATTTCTTAGTCATGATCAGTCTCTCTCTCTCTCTCTACCCTCCCCCCCCCCCCCAAACCCACACCCCCCCCCACCCCCCCCGCCCCCACCCCACCCCTCCACCTCTCCAACCCACCTCTTTCTCAGCAGCTTGCTGTACTGGACCAGGGAGCAGTCATGGAGTCATACAGCACAGAAATAGACTCTGGTCCAACCAGTCCATGCCAAACATAATCCAAAACTAAACCAGATTAGAAAAACTTGCAGAAGTTGAATGTTTTAAGATATAAAAGTTTGAATGCACATGCAGATAGATTCAAAAACAGCTTCTTTCCTGTTATTATCAGACTTTTGAATGGACCTCTCACATGTTAATTCTGATCTCTCTCTCTGCATCTTCTTTGCAGCTATAACACTATGTCCTGTTCTCTGTTCTGCTACCCTGATGCATTTGGTACGGTACGATCCGCCTCTATGGCACGCAAAACAACACTTTTCACTGTATCTCGGTACACATGACAACAATAAATCAATCACCTCCCATCATTCTTGTCTTTATTTCAAATGCACCAAGCTGTGGAATAGGTGCAGGGTCAATCAAGTACTTTCTGACATTTTGGAAATGCAGCTAGCACAGGTCACCAAGTGCAGTGAACACAATAATATTAAGATAGTGCCTACTGGCTTTTCCAGCTAAGGAACTCCAGGCAAAGATACATGGAGCCCCCAAAGGATCAGAAACTGATAAGACATGGGCTGAACAAAGCAGGTAGTATAATCTGTGTCCTTTTAGTAAGGGGAACAGCAGCACATTGTTACAATTTTTATTGTAGATTTCTAACTCTTAGTATCATCATATTACACAAACCTCACCTGTCCAATATATAGATGAGAACTCATCTGTGATTTCAGCTCATTGTTATTGCTAAATGGTCCCACTTTAAAATATGATAGAATGGTCATTATAAAAGGACCCTTGTTCGGGCTGAAAGCCAAAGGCTAGTTTAGAAACAGCACATAGGTAATATGAATCGCTGGATAGCCAACAGGCAAATTTCAGTAATATAGAGGTCTTACTGCTTTTCACAATTTTTGCTGATTGCATCATACGTTGTGCACAACAGATCTATACCAATGTTCATGCCTCACAGGAGTCACACTCATCCCTTTTTATCTAAACTCATCAGCATACCTCCTGTTCCTTTCCCCTTGCTCTTAAACCAAGAAAATATAAATAATCAAATCACCTTCACTGACACTCACTGTAAAATGGGACCTGAAAAGAGGTTTCAGATCATGACTGTATTTTGCGTGTGTGTGTGTGTGTACGTGTTTGTGTATTTGCGTGTATGTATCTGTCTGCCTCTGTGTGTATGTGTGTCTACACATGTGTATGTATACTTGTATGTATGTCTGTGTGTGTGCATGCTTGTATATGTGTACCTGTGTGTGTGAATGTGTGTGTGCGCATGTGTGCCTCTGTGTGTGTGTGTGTGTGTGTGTGTGTGTGTGTGTGTGCAGGCGTGTGTGTGTGCATGTGTGTGTGTGTGAGTGCGTGTATTGAAAGTGGGTTCAACAAACTTTAAAAGGAAGTCAGATCTCGCCTTCTCATGGTCACATCCAGCTGCTGACCATCCACAAGATGCCGAGGCATGCCCAGATACTGTCCTGGAGCAGATACTTCAGGAAGCCGTCCAACTTGAATATCTGCAGGTGAACTCCATGGGAATGATACCTGCTCACAAAGCCAAGGTGGGGCACCACCGACATCATGGCTGCTGGAAAACTCCACTGGTCTGGAATAGTGAAAGCTTCTCAGAATCAATGAGCAAAACAGGCAGATAAACAAGAATGCAAAAAAATCACTGGTTCTGTTACAAATAAGATAGAAGTCTGAGGCAGGCTAACCTGGCTCAAAACAAGTAAATCCCGAGGGAACGATGATATTTATTGCAGAGTATCGCGAGAGACTAAAGAAATAGTTTCAGAAGCACAGACAATCAAATGAAAGGAGTCTTTCAACATGGGTGCACTGGGGAAGCCAGAAGGCCATAAATGAGCAAATATGGCCCCACTATTGAGAAAAGATGACAGATACATGTAATCATATTACCACTCAATATAAATATAGAAAGTTAAACATCCTGTCACTTGTATTTGGTTGCAGCAATGAGTGGAGTTGATAAACATTACAGGAGTCTTTGTTGACAGCAAACACCACCTTTTATTTTTAAGAAATGCTCAATACTAAATTAATACAGGATGAGACTTCACCTCAGACACAATGTTGTTGAAGAGAACCAAATCCTAAGTCATGTGATCTTATTTACGGATTAAATTAACCCTGTACACGACAAATCTCTGATTTAATTGTATAACAACGATCGGGTTGGTGAGAGTCAGCATGGATTCAGAATGGGCCAATTCTGCTTGACCAATATGTTAGCAGCTTTGAAGATGAAACAATACAAGTAGGTGACAGTGAAAGCAAAGAAATGGTACATTTTAACTAGCAAACCTCAAAGTTCCTCAGGGCCAGCTGTTAATTAAGTGCAAACCTAGGTTCTGAATGAATCCTGGGAACTGGTTAAAGAGGATGAATCAACTGGGAATCATCAGAGAAATTATTACAGAGGGTGGGGACCTCATGTCTAGGAATACTGAGGATTCCCATTCACATAAGAATTTACAAGACGCTGCCAAGGTTGGAGGGTTAGAGCTATATAGAGAATCAGCATCTTATCTCTGAATCAAATTAATAAATTGGTCTCTGATAAATTGGTCTCAATCTGTTTAAATATTATCCAATGGATAAACATTTGTGCCCCACAAGGGTTTAACATATTTTTATTTAATATGAGAGTTTACCATGATTCACTGGAATTGGCGATGGTTGACTTTATTCTAGATGGGATAATACCACACGTGGCCATACCTTACCAGAAAGATCTTTTCCAATAGTAGTGTTAGATTACAATACCACATGTTGCCAGATGCACTGCTCATTGTGAATATAATTAAGCAGCAGGCAGAAGTCTGAACAGACTTGATCTTTGCTACCTACCCAGAGATTTCCAAAACTCCAAAAGGAACAAATGATTAAAAATGAGCATCAATAAAAAGTGTACAATAAAAAACCTAGATATCTAAAATTCCATATGATGATTGTCAGCTGGTTTGTATTATCACAGGGCATCTTTGCAAAGCACAAATTACCTATACAAAAATGGCCATTGACTTTTAATTCATTGTTGATGGATCCACCCTGCAAGTAATATTGATCGAGGAAATAATCACATGCTGGTATCCAGAAGAAGATAAAGTCACCGTAATCAGGGAGGACTGCTCTCTCGTTAGATGGAGACAACTGATGCTGAGTGAGGGACAAGGTTAAGAAGGCAGGATTGGAGAGGTTGGGCGGTGGATCAGTTACCAGAGGACATAGATTTCAGGTAAAGGGCAGGGGATTTA